TAGTAGTATGAAGTTTGTGCGAGTCCTTTTGAAGTCTTTGGAAGCATTTTAGTTCTGCTGCAGTGGCCAGTAATGATGGGCATGATCAGAGATGTGTTATTCCACCCACAAGGCAGACTTAGACCTTTAACTGTTATCTCCACAAAGCCTCCAGGGCACACGTCTGATATTCTCTCATATTTAGTTCTCAACCTTCTAAAAAGAGCAGTTTTTCTGTATATACACTGGTCAAGTATTTTAGTATTATATCAGTTACAGAATGAAAGAGTTGACATTAACAAAGCTGATAATTTGGCAGATTTTAAGACCTAATAGAGGTGTGAAAGAAAAAAAAAAAAAACAACACAACTCCAGGTATGTTTTTGAGGAGGTAACCACATTCGAACATGGCTAAAAGCTCACAAGAGTCAAATTTTGCATAATATAGGACATTTAATTTTTGGTTTCATAATAGCTTTGCAGTATATTTATAAAGTCTGCTATTCCTTTTTGTCCAGTTAAAATATACAAAATAAGTCAATGGAATGTGAGATTTCCGACATGCACGTGGATGACCTCTATTATAAAAACAGAATAACTTATTTGATGCCAATTTCAGGAGGAATGGCTCAAGGAAATTAAAATAGCTTTTCACATGCGTCTGGGACAAATGTCTTTTTTTCCATTGACACCTGCACATTGCTCTTTCACGTTCTGTTTTGAGTGTTCCAAATCCTGAATCTCATTTCCTGTCTTCTCTTTTAATATCTTTTGGCAATCTTACACCCCATGTACTAACACAAAGTACACAAAACAATACAACCGGGTTTTGTGGCCAAAACTCCTTTTCAAAGCCTGATCTCGTCAGATCTCAGAAGAAGAGCAGTACTTGACGGGGAGACCGCTGGGAAAATCAGGGGCCACAGTGGGTAAAAACTGTTTGTTGTGTTGTTTTGTTGTCCATAGGCAAGACATTTCACCCACATTGCCTAGTATGAAAGTGGTGTGTGTGATTGTTGGTGGTGATCAGAGATTGGCAGTCTTTCCCAGGGAGACTGTGGCTACAATAGCAGCTTATCACCACCGGGTGCGGAATGAATGAATAATGCACGAAACTGAAAAAAGTCTGAAAAAGCACTATATAAGACTAATATATTATTATTATTATTATTATTATTATTATTATTATTACCAATATAAAAGTTATTTTATGTATTTATTTATTTAATAGGGACAGTGCATATTAAGGAACATTTACAGCATTGCAGTGTAAATATGACAGATTATAGCAAAAATGCTAATTTCCATCTGTAGTCCCTGCAAATTTAACAGAAAAAAACAAGTGACAGTTCTAAACTAAACTTGTCCACAAATCTGGTTTTCCTTTAGCCACTGTGTCAAGTGGGATCTGAAAGTGTCCAGTGTTGGAGTCTCTGTTATTGATAATGGGAGAATGTTCCAGAACTTAGTGCCTCTGACTGAGACACACTTTGTACAAATGCGGTGCGTCTGTGTGAAGCTCACAGTTCCCCCAGGCTGTAGCCCTATTTCGCATCCCACTGTAGTCTTTATTTTAATAAATTTCCGTAACGGAAGGGGGCAAGTCCGTGCTAAACTTTATATATAAAACATCCATACTTAGAATCTACAAAATCATTAAAATTAAGCAAATTGTACTTATTTAAAATGGTGCAGTGTGCAGTCGTGAAATGAGAATGGTTTCTTGTACAGTATTTTTACAGCTTTTTAAAAAAGTGATTCAACAGGTTTGAGTTTTGTGCCAGCAGCAAGTGACCATGTGGTTCTGCAATAGTCTATACGAGGCACAATCAGGAAGTGTAAAAACATTTGTGTTGCATATAGAGTCATGAAGAATCTTATCTGTCTAAGTTAATGTGAACAGTTTTTGTGAGGCGCTTAATGTGTTTCTTAAATGTCAATGTTGGGTCCAAGGTCAGTGCCAGGTATTTAAACTCTTTGACAAGTCTGAGTTCCACCCCGTCCAGAAAGTCACTGGACCGCTGTTTGGACACACCTTCACATTCAGTGATGATTCTACATTTTAAATGCATTCAGAAGACATCAAATATGGTTCAAGATGAATAGAATTATGTAGAAAATGCAAAAAAAAAAAAAAAAACAACTTTATCACTGCAAACCCTTGGCCTTCTCTCAACAATCTTTATGACGAAGTCTCTTGAAATGATTTTCACTTTACAACTGTGCAATGTCAGGGTTCATTAGAATGTACAAAGCAGTGACAAAAGCAAAGGGTGGTTATTTTTATCTATCTTTTATCTGCGTTTTGAGTTTGAGTTTATTTTTGTGTCATGTCCATTTCTAGTTTTGATGCATTCAGTGAGACTCTATAATATGAGATCATCAATCAGTCAAAAAAAAAAAAACATTAAAAAAAAAGGTGTGGCTGGTTGTGTATAAGGATTATTTTTTGGCTGTATACAAAGACTAAGTGACTCTGTACCAAGATGAGTGATCAGAGTATCCAAAATTGTACTCAAGTAAGAATACATTCACTTAAAAAAAAACATAACTCAAGAGGAAATACAAAGTAGTTATAGTACACCCTACTGTAATAGGAAAGTCAAAACATTAGATAATGCAAGATCTAGTATTTTCAAAGAATTTCATATTGTCATCTTAATTTAGTCACTTGTAGACTTACTCACAGTGGGAAGAGTAACCAGAACGTTTACTCATGTTCACTGTCAAATATATTACTCAAATAAGAGTAAAAGTATTGTGTGAGTGATAAAGTAAATTAGTAAATAATCTGTAGATTGCCTGATAACTTTTGAACATCTCATAAAGTCAGGTTGTGGAAAAGCAGAGAGTGAAAGTGAATTATAGATGGCCTCTTTGAGTGAAGGCTGTAAAATATTATGGCACCACTTAAAGCCACTGCCAGAGCCTAAATCAATATGTAGTAGTAGTAAGTATTGAGTAGTTGTTGAACATTGGTACCATGGTGCCAGTGAAGCTGTGTTGGATGTTAAGAGAGCAATTATACTTTGACTGTACAAGTATAGTATTTGCTATACTTTTGGTGATATGGTATGGTATTTTGGATTTAAGACAGTTGGTTCAACACTCACCCACTCACCAGAGGGTCTGCATGCAAGTTACACCCTCATGTGTTACAGTTTCGGGCAAAGACATTTATTTCTATTTGTTATTTCTATGAAGATAAGAAAAAAGCTGGTAATGCCACCAGGCCATGTTATAGGTCAGATCTAAGGACAGGCAAGCCCGCTCATAGTAAGAAGTTAGCATCAAACCGCCATGTTTGATTTCCCAGTGGGATGCATCTATTGACAAAGCCAGTCTTTTCTAGTCTTTTGAACCATATCAATTTTGTTTCTGATTCTGATATTGTCATATTTTAGTTTTGGGATTCGGACATCGTAATTGTTTGGTTGTTGGATGTCCTAACACCGGAAATGGTTTGAGAAATTTGCTTGCAAACACCTTAACTGCCAAAGGGAATCAGATGTGTGTGACTGCAAACCTCTGTTCAAACTGTTTCCTTTCCCAATGGAACAGAAAAATAGTGAAAGAGGAAGTCGATGAGCAATATTGATACACAGGAAGGACGTAAAAGGTAACTACCTAAAATCATCCCGAGTTTGCAGTGAACATTTTGTATGTGAAGCACCATCAAAGCAAAATCCCGATCCCTCACTCAACCTTGGTTACGAATTTAAAAAGTCAACACCAAAGCGAAAGGCACCAACTGTTCGCCAAGAAAGAACTTCCACTCCAAAGCGAGCAAGACGAGATGTTGCTGTATAGCCACAAGAACAAGAAAGTGCAAGCTCAGCCTGTTTGTCTTCTGTACCTCTTGCTTAACCAACGGGATCCCATTTTGATCACGCTCCACATACAAAATGTTCGCTGCAAACTGGGAATGAGTGGATGGATCGCAAACAAATTTCTCAAGTAATTTTCCGATGTTAGGACATCCAACAACCACACAATTACGATGTCCGAATCCCAAAACTAAAATATGACAATATCAGAACCAGAAACAAAAGCGATATGGTTCGAAAGACTTGAAAAGATCAGCTTTGACAATAGACACATCCCAGTGAGAAAACAAACATGGCAGTTTGATGCTCACTTTTTCGGAAAATCCGGAAGTCCAAAATTCTTGATGCATCTATAAATATTTTAATTATGTCCTCAGTTGTATATCAGTTGTACATTATTCGCATATGTTGTGTTTTACGTCACAAGGAGGCGCTACAGCACAGGTTATACAAGGCAGGTGTACGTCAGTATGTTTTTGTTCAATTCGACTTGCCGTAGTTTTGAAGTCAGTGCGATAAGTAGCTGCATGATGTGTCTGCAGTTCTCCAATAAATATGCCAAGAAAGGCTAAAGAAGTTTCATCTATCATCTACTCTTCTCATCTGAATGCGACGTTAGCTGCAGCAAAAGCATAACATAACTCATCAAATGCACCTTTACAGAATAGCACAGACTCGGAAAGCACTTTGGAAAATGGGAGCAGGTTGGGGCTGTATTTGACATACAATATTTTAAACTATTTACTGCTATTATTATTTGTGCTGGACCGGAGTGCAGTGTTTAATTTCTGTGTATTTTTTTACACTGAAATGATGAATAAATTCTGATTTTGATTCAGACAGTACACACACAGCGCTGTTTATACACTCAATTTATACTGAGGTGAGAATTTTTTGCTTAAATATAGTACATGGTTTAAAAAAAATAAATAAAAAAAGAACTCAGAATACTTATCAACCCAGTCCACAAAATCAACATCTTATCTAGTTAAAATTTTCAGTATTATCTAGTTTTTTGTATTCTCTTCTGTAATTTACTATAATGAAATAAAGCAGAGAATAAAAAAATAATAATAATAAAAAAGAGTTAGATGAGTGAAGAAAAGGTTTTGGATTTGATCAAGAAGGAATGGCGCTTTCACAAATGAGCTCCTTAAATCACTTTTGCTTGCCCCATTTCATTTCAAAAAGTACCAACCCGTTTCCCTGCAATCCCAGCAATTACTTTACAGACTTTACAACCAGAAAATCACGTACAAAAGTTTTATTACACAGTGACAGTAATGTAAAATCATTGTAGTTCATTGGACATCGAAATGTGCTCTGTCATTCAAACGCAGCCAGGCCGTACCAAAGCTTACATCACTCTTTGAATTCTTCCACTCCCACCACAGACCACCTTCATCAGAAATGCACACGACAGCAGTGTCACAAATCAACCTGAGAATCCCGCCGGTCCTTTCCGCTTCATGCATTAGCTAATGAGGCGTATCTGCTGAGTGAGACTGCAGTATGGGACCAGAGCTGCCAGAAAAGTCCAGCTACAACATATAAACTAATGAGGGGAAAAGTTTGTTTCATGTGGAAATGACCAAAGTTTGAAATTTAATTAAAGGGCAGGTCAGAATGCTATGGTAAAATCGGTCTTTTAAGAGTAGAGGGTACGCCAACTTTTTTCTCCATGAAGATATATTATTTTTTAAATGTTTTATTTATTTATTTATTTTTCAAGAATACGCCTAAAATTGAATGCAAAATAGATCTGTAATTGTTAATTTTCTTGCTATTGTGGTTAGTTTTGAGATTAGGCTTGCAATTTATGTTTTAATCATAGAATACTTTTCAAAGTTCAGATTGCACTGTGTAACATTTCTGGTAGAGGATCCACCACTTGCTAGTCTCCATGGGGATGTGAATGTTTTGCCTGAAATGTTCCACAGTATGGCATTAAACAGTTTTTTTTTTTTTTTTTTCATTTATTCCATTAAAGGTGTTTTTATTGCTTTAAAATAGCATGAAAAACAGGCATTTCTGGATACACTGAAACACCTCTCCATAGATCTGAACTGTATCTAGGCCCAGTTTCATTTCTGCTTATCTTCATAGAGACAGAGGAGTTTAATGCTTCAGTGTGGAACATTCCAGGCAAAGCAATAACAGCTCCATGGAGACAAGCAGTTAGCAGACCTACAAGAAAAGTTACACAGTGCACCTTTAAATGTTTCCAGAAGAATTGACAAAAGGCTGAAATATGAACTGACGAACTAATAAAAGAATCACATTTCAGAACAAGTTTGTACAGAGCTAAATTGTTCAAACTTTGTTGCTTGTGGAGAAAATTACGGCACTTTGGAGATTGCAGCTTTTGTGATTTGCCAAATGGATCCATTCAAATTACGATTTTGGTTTGATTGTGGTGAACCTTGCAACCCTAGTGCAAGATTTAAAAGTTTAATGCCATACTGTGAAATATTCCAGGCAAAGCAATAAAATCTCCATGGAAACAGGCAGGTAGGGGACCCTCAGCATTTACAAGGTGCATTTAATATAGAATCATTCAATATAACCTTCACATGTAAAAAAAAAAAAAAAAAAAAAAAAATCTATGTAGCTCAACTTCTCCTCCAGCACCGTTTGGCACAGCAAGGAAAGGGTTAAGTGTGCCATCCTGTTGTAAATACAAAATTAAATACAGCTCCTTATGTGCACAGTAAAGATTTTAAACAATTTGCCAGTTTGTCTTTGTTGTTTGTAGGCCCGTCACAATAACACATTTTGAAGTGTGGAAGAAAATCTAGACGATAAATGATAATATTGAAACTAATTTATGCCACTAAAAAAAACACCAAAAACCCAAGAGCAGATTCAAACCACAAAAAATGTACAATATTGTTAAAAAGCTATGAGCTGCAATAAATAAACAGCAGAATGAAACATTTTAGTACTTAGTTTGCATCTGTAATGGATCATAGAAGATCAAAGAAGAGAACCTTTTATGTCTAAAATCTTATCATATTGCTGAAAATAACCAAAAGGTTCCCAGTAGTGCAAAGTAAATGTACACACGAATAAATACTGACCCCAAAAACATTCTTCCTAATATATACTGAATGAAAAGTCAATATAGTAATTATCATGACAGGCCTAGTTGTTTTTGCTTTTCTGAGGTGTAAAACGCTTTAAAATACATATTGTGACCGTTGTATTGAAATATGAATAAAACATGACAAAACTGAATCCATGTACCGTATTTTTCGAACTATAAATCACACTTTTGTTCATGGTTTCAATGGTCCTGCGACTTATTCTCCAGTGCCACTTACATATTAAAATTTTCACACTGACAGCCGTGAGAGGGCGCTCTAGGCTTGTGTGTCAGTATCTGCTACTCCTGTTACTCCTGTACCATTGTCATTTGGTGCCCTACTGCAAAAGTCTCCTGCATGTGTCCTGCTGCAAGTAATGAAATATGCAGCCAAAAACTGTAATCGAGCAGCAGAAAGAAAGTTTGGAGTGAGCAAGTAACTTGTGAGGGACTGGCAAAAAGCAGGGATGGAGAACACAGCTTCAACCAGGAGGATGCGCCATGCAACTTTCCTGGAAGTCACTGGATGGATCAACAAAGCCTGGACTTCAGTGACAACCGAAACCATCCTGTCATGGTTCAGAAATACCGGAATAAATCTAACTGGAACTGATGCGGAGTCTGATAACAGTTACACAGAAGAGGAGATCCCGGAGTTGCTCAGAAGTGACACAGGGAATGAAGAATTCAATGGATTTAGTGATTTGGAGTGAGATTGGAGAGTTTGGTAAACTTGTTCTGTTGTTTATGCTATAGTTATCTGAATAGCTGTTCATATGTTACGTTAACAGTCTGTTATTCTATTCTGTTATCACTATAACTTGCCTTTTAAGATGAAATGTCAGTTCCTGGGCTCTGATTTTATAAAATAAATTTCCCTTAAGAAGTGTGACTTATAGTCCGGTGCGACTTACAGTGCAAAAAATACGGTAACTATGGACTGGGGGTCAATTCACATGAAAAAACTGCATAACATTGTCTCTGTCAGCAAAAAAAAAAAAACAATATCCATTGTAGCTTCAGAATGTGGTGGCATTCTTCAGTCACAAAGCAGGAATTGCATTGTCAGTTTAAAGGATTAGAAGCCATAAAATGACAAGTTTGTGGATCCAAGAATCTCTTAAAAATGTAGTAAGTTACATACCCCTATAATCCATCTGAAATCATGACACAAATTTCCAGAGCATGAACCCAAACCTATTATAAAATGTTTGACAAATGAACACTTTGTAAATCTGACGTAGAAAACCACCAAAATGATTAATTAGAAAATGACATCAATTTAAAAAATGAAATTAGGAACAAAAAACAGGTTCAAAAGTTAATTCAAGATAAAAATGATTCCATGGTAAAGATACAAAACCTAGAAAACTTGAGTTCCCAAAATGTACACACAGTCCCTCATGTACACCAGTACTTCGTAGGAGATTAGCTTGAGTAGTTAGACTTCACATTACCACTGACAAAATCACTTTGTTACTTACGGTTACTCCTTCGTACACTACTGATTTGTCATTTCCCAACATGGCAACCGTTTAGCGCGTAGTAACGGCTCAGAAAAATGGCAGATCGTTGGCAGTTTTGCTTAAAAACAATATTCACAACTGAACAAGTAAGTAAGATTTTTGTGCATTTTCCTTTTTGCGTTTTAGTGCATGCACCAACATCGTATCATATCTTAAAAATGATGCAAAGTTATAAAAACATTCTTGTCCCTTGTCAAATACCCACGGTTGAATCCGCTTTTCAACCATAAAAGTTAGTGTCCATTTTGAATTGTCCAATACGTTTCCATACTATAATGGCAGGAGATGTTATTTTCACTGGTTTTCACATAAGTGGGACAGATGCTACCTAGAAGCATCAGGGACCAGTCTCTTAAACCACCGAGTTACAGCGGAGTCTATTCTGAGCACAAATGTGACTCCCAATAACACGGACACACTGGTGACGATGAACGCAGAGGTTTCGAACATTAGCCTGGACAGAAAAGAAATTTTAGAAGAGTCATGGAAAAAAAATAGATGCAAGTACAATGTGTATTTGTGCATTATCATATTCATGGCATTAAACAGGGTAAAGCAACTAATATTGGTGATGAACCTATAGTACATATTGACCTATCTCATAAGCTCATAAGGAAATGACTATTTGAAAAGTTGCAATTAGCAAATCTATCTAAAAAGCCCTGATAACTTTGTAGTTTACATCTCTACAAACATGTTTTGATTCTGATTCTTGTACTAGTTTAACGGTTCAGATTTCAGTCTCATCTCTCAAATGTTAAAGCTTCTAGACTTTTAAAATGTGAACTTTGAACAGAATGTACCAATTAAAACATAAACCGCAAATCTAATTCAGTCCAATGGAATTTCTGAGCTGAAATTGTAATTGCTGCTGTGGCTGGTAAGCAATATATGCAGATTCCAATGTTAAGAATTAAATCTATAGCAAGTATCACGAACTGATGTTAAATTATGGTAAAGCTCACAAATGAACTTTGACTGGTAAAAATAATATCACAATGTATTAATGCATAATTGTGTAAATATAAAGCTTTTTTTTTTTTTTTTTGTGGCTTAATTGGTCTTCTGTCTCCATTTTTACTAGTTAGTCTGTTCAAAACAGACTTTGTAGTTGTTTTAAGTACTCTGCTCAGTTAACTTTGGGTGGAGTGTGGAAAATCTAAGCACCATGTTGGGCAATTTAATTATTAACGGATGGAAAGGCCTTTCATGTCTAAAGATGTCAATAGACAAATAGAAATAGATGAAAAACAACCTCATAACATAAAAATGAGCTCCGACCAGCAGACAGAGGTCCTCCATGTTTCACTAAAGTGCAGTAAAACCTGAACCCCACCTAGACTAAATGCCTCACAGATCTGCTCTGTCCATTTCCTGTGGAGCTGTTACTGTGAGTGGATTAGAGGGAGCCGGAAAATCCATCCAGCACTTACTTGGGTGCAAAGACCTTCCACACCATTAGGTGTCTCCTGAGGATAGCAGCTGCACACACCGATGCAAACACCTAAGGACAGACAAGATAGGAATGTTATGTCTAAATATGAAAGCACTAACATAATAAAGAAAACTCTACAGTAGAAAAATAGTGGTAGAGTTAGTACACGACCAAGACATCACACGTTGAACAACAGCCAAAACAGCAAAAGTCTACTACATCTGCAAATCACTGTTCCAATAGTGACGCCTGTAAGAAGAAATTGCTTGAATTCTGCAGAGGTGAGTAGAGTAGCCAAAGATTGTACTCAAGTAATATGAGTAATATTACTTAAATTAATATAACTCACAAGAAGTGCAAAGTAAGTCCATGAAATGACACAAGTAAGAGTAAAAAAGTATTTGGAAAAACTACTACTCAAGTAAGAGTAACTTAAAAAACATCTGATTTATTTCATGAAGTTAATGTATAGTAATTGGAAGGAAAAAAAAACACAAAAATGATAAAAACTAAATCATAACTGAAATAGTAATGTAAGAAACACAAATGTTCAAATCATATTGCAAACATAAAGCTTTTGTAACTTATAGACTTACTCACAGTAGGAAGAGCAACCAAAACTTTTACATGAGTACTGTTATTTCAATCAAAATAAATAGTAAATAGTAAATAAAGTAGAAAGGTACTCTGAAAAAGCACAATTTCTTTAAAAAAGTTACTCAAGTAAATGAAACTGAATAACTGGAAACACCTCTGGAATCCTGGTGTTTTAATTTGTTCCATTATAAACAATACATAAAAACTAAGCAAAAACGATAAGTTCTGAGTTGCAGTAGACTAGAAGTACACCATTTCCATACTAAAAGATTTATATCCCACGCCCTCCCACAGTGTACCCGTGGCATGTTTACCTGTGCTCCATGTACAAAGAGGTAGCGCGCAGACAGCTGCAGCAGAGCCGAGCTGAACTGCTGTGGGCTTTCTCTCAGTCGAATCTCCATCACTGCATCTTCCACCTCTTCCCCACAGGTCCTGCCCCCTCTGCTGGAGCGCACCTCACACACCAGAGGCCAGAGGAGCAGGAGCGGGCAAGAGACTGCACAAAATAAGAAAATATATGAAAAAAATGTTTGGGCACTTTTTCCCCAATCTATTTTTGTAGCATTTTTCTCAGTTTTGCTTTTTCCAAGTTATTCCTACTTTTGAATGTTTAAAAATTTGTTTTTTTTTTTGGCTTCTTCATTTCTGCCTCGGAGCATTAAATAGTGCGAGTCTGGTGTGCTCGTTTTTCTCTCCCTCTCACTGTGACTCGTCTCTCCCAGAGTGTGCGCATCCTCGCACTATGAGCTGCCTCCTGCTGGTTCCTATGCCAGTTTATTAGCTTTTTTGTTATCCTAGCTTTATTTTTTGTTTGCCCTGTGGAGTCCAGACAGTCTGTTTTCGTTTGTTATTTTATCTAGGGACAGTTTGGGGGTTGTGTTTTTGTTAGGGCAGGGACAGAGCACAGTCCTTAGTTCACGTCGGTCGGCTCACCAGGGTACTTTCCGTTGTTACTTTGTTTTTTTGGGCATGGGATAAGGGTTTTTTGTTTCCACATTTAAACATACAAAGTAAAAAAAAAAAAATGTAATCCTTAACTTTGTTTTCCATGTTAGTTCAATGAGGTTCATTTGGGCTTCCAATATTTTGTTACCAAGTTCTTTTTCTAGACCAAGAGTTTGTTTTCATACGTGACAATCCTTTCCATGTCCTTGTTTTAATGTATTTTGGGTCAAAACAACAGAGAAATTCAACAGTTCTGTAGTGCAGCTAGAGGGTAAAGGTGTGTAACTTTCTGTCCACAGAACTGACCTGTATCTTGGCCTATTAGCAGGGAGTCATGAGTTGGTGAAACAGTACAAAACAGTTGCTGGATCCATTGTATTAGATTTCATTATGTTTTATAGGTTAAATACCAAACACTGGAAGATTCCAAGTTATAACATTTCCATGGAGACAAGATGGTAACAGACCCTTCTCCAGAAAAGTTACAGAATGCATCTTTAACAGCACTTATTTAGTTCCATCTTCCATCTTCCATATCCATATTTGTACTACTACCATAATTTAAATCTTACAACAGAAGTGTCAAGTACTGGATTATTTAAAATTTTAATTTAAATATGGTTTGTGAATATAAAAACAACATTTCAAGCAAAGTTTTTGTTTTTGTATTTTTGGTTAAAATGTTACATACTGTGGCTTGACTTGAGCAATTTGTATGTATTTATTAATGAGGTAAAACACGTTATTAACTCATCAGCAGAAATCGCTTCAGATCAAATATTACTGACCTTATCTACACATAAAAATATATGGCTGGACTACTCAACTATTAATATTCAGAAAGTAGGTCATTGTATAATTTTTTTGCAATGTAGTTCAATTTAAACTAATAAATGCAGTACTTTAATTGATGTTTTAAAAGTTTTATTTCTGTTTCAAAAGTATAATTACCTGCTAAGAGGATGTGAGAAGCGAACGTGTTGAGAGTGACCAGAGAGGCCGGGATAATGGTGCCAGTGTGTCCATCGGGGAAGCCCACAAATGCTGCCCCCCACTGGATGGAGGGGAAAGTGGGCAGGTGACCGGTAGCATGGAAGAACTGGGTAGCAGCCAGAGCCCACAGCACCACCGGAGTCCAGGGCACGTTAAAACCACCTGGAAAAAAAGAGGAAGAAATATTAAAAGGTGTGGTACATTATTTTTGTGAAAACTGAACTAGTTCATTTTAAGCAGCAGAAGCAGCAGCAGTGAAAATTTATTTCTAGGAATGGAACAAGATCTCATACCACAAGATCTCACGAGACAAAATTGCTACAAGATCGTGCTCACATAGTAAACATGATCTCAGGAGATTTTTTTCTCATGTTTTTACATTTGTGCTGGCGAGTTACATTTTTTGAGAATGTGTCCCAAAAAGTAGCTACAGTGACAGCAGAAATATTAAATAAAGTCAATCAAAAATGGTGAGGCTAAAACTAGGAACTGGATTGCGCAATGTATTTATTATAGCCTAAATAATGTCAAAATCTTGTCTTGTCTTGTTCCAATCTCGTGTCCCATCTTGTCTTGTGAAAATTTTTACTACTACTCTAATTATTCACCAAGATTAATTTAGAAGTTACAAGCATTTTTCACTTTCAGAGGCCAAAGCTGAGTTTTTTCACTCTAATGCTAACAGTGCACCAGTATTATTTCATGGTTTGCAGGGGATAAAAATGTTTTAAAATTAGAAGAGACATTACACAGCGGTCTACTTTTGACCCGAAGAGCTGCTTTTACAATGCATCTGGGTCAAGAGACATTTTACATTAGCAGTCAGCTATGAGTGGATCACTTCTACTTCAAAACTGTTTTCTGGTTTAATAGAAAATCATTATTAAAATTTACAATTGTATAATAATTGGATTTGCCTTTTAACGTAATATAAACAAAAACTATTCTGGCAACAAAAAATATTAACTTTAAAAATAAAATGTTAGAATGGGGCACAACTAGAGCATAGTGTCATTGTACCCTTGAGCAAGAGTCTTCACCCACATATTGGCAGCCTCACGTCTGTGCTTCTAACTGAGTTGATGGCAACTGATGAATAAATGAATAATGCCATGTAAAGCACCTTTAGGTTTCCAGAAAGGACTATACCCTAAATTCAATGAATAATTAAACTTGTCAATTATGCAATTTTAAGAGGTTGAGTGTTAACAAGAGTGTGTGTTCAAATAGATAAGATGCATAGTCAATACCTGTGAAGACCCAATACAATGCATTTTAAAGCAAATGGTGTAACAATGTTGTTTTCTTAACCAAGTATACAAGTCGCAAATTTGAATAAAAAAATTAATATTCACTGAATTTAAATTAAAAATCTCATTAAGGCTGCTTTGTGAAAAGAATCAATAACAGCAGCCTTTCTTATGACTGAATATTCATTTGTCCAAGAGGCACTTCACTTAATATTCAATTTATTAAGGTCTTTGTTATGCAAGACAGTCAACAAAACATGCCCAAATGAAAAGGGAGATTTATTTAAACTAAAAAGTCCATCTGAAAACCTAGAATTGCTAATGAACTAATTAAATTGGAATGTTTAAAACTTGCCCCAGGTGCAGCATGACTTACAAAACACAGTTTCATAGGGTTTTTTTATATTTTAGCATATCATTTTGGCTCTCATGGACAAAACACCTTTTTAACAGTGCCTTTAACAGCACCTAAAATATTGTATCACTGTAATATTAAAATCCTCATTATTATTGAAATATATTTACCATCTTCTAGAGTTGTCTCAGTGTAAAAAATCAGATACTAATTGATGCTAAAACAAAAATAGATACACATTTGAGCAGGTATCGATACTAACAAAAGTTACGTTCACAGACCAGAAATGAACCTTTCCTGAATAGCTTTAGAATGATCTTGAGCTGTATCAGAACAAGTATAAGAGCACATAGACTAGTATACACACATGGACCACTATGGAACCTACCTGGAACACTGAGGGATACACAGATACAAGACCACATAGTAATATAAAAGAAAGTACTACAATTTTATGGTGAAAACCACATTCTATTCTGCAAATAAGAAGTGTTTTCATTATCACTGTGGTATCGAAATTGATATTGAGTAATGAATCTACTGATAAGTATCGAAATCAAATTTGACATTTGAGTATCATGACTACACAACACATCAAGATAAGAATCTTGATATGAATATGGCAGTGTGTGATCTATCAAAAATGAAGAGCGTGTGTGTGTACAATATGACCACTTACATCTCATTGCAGAGATGTAAGTGGTCATATTGTACATGTGTGATGTTGGGTGAGTGTGTTTGGGTCAGAGAGTGGACATTCTGAATAGTTCCTATTGTTGATTGGTGTAATTGCACTATATCATTTATTCCTGCAAATCAGGGTCTGCAGATGGAAAATGGCTATTTAGCTATAACTTGGCACAGAACATCTCTGTTTTTTATTATCTTAATGTCTGTGTACAATGTCCCTTCAAAATAAAATAATAAAAAATGACTACTTAAATTCATTATATCAATATCTGAATTGATATTTCTGCAGTTTTGTGTTTCATTTTCCAAACCAATCACTTTTTATGTCGTACTACAACCTCAACCAAGACATGTACAGACACCGTAAGCACAGTGACAAGATTCAAGAGTCAGGTTGGTTTTTCAGTGCAATACACATGACAAAAATTAAAAGATGCTTTTATTTTTGGCTGTGGCTTTAAGAGACAAAAACATCTGCTGCTTTTATTATTAAAAAGGGTGTATTTATTATGTTTGTGCAAGTAGTGATTTAACAAGAAATATTGTTGTTAAAGTGTATTGTTTTTATTAGTTTTAACAGAAAATAATAGTATTTGTTTATTATACCAATTTGCCTTATACTAGTTTTAATAAAACACAAGATTAAGCTGATCAAGAAAGACCAAGACTGATGCAGTTATGTGATTAAATAAAAAGTTCAGTAGTGATTAGCACCTGATTTTAAAATATGTTTAACAACCCCACCCTGCAGTGCATTATACTTTCCTTTAACTCAGCCTTACCTGCTTCAGTCCTCCCCGGTCCGCTCAGATTGTTGGATGAGGCGTGAATGTACAGCACCGCTCCCATCTCCAACAGCAGCAGTAGAAAGGCCAGCGCCATGCCTTCTGGATGGAGCAACAACAAAACTAACCCCAGCATCCCACAGGACAGTAGCAGGGGGGCCGAGTAGACTGTACCCAGCCCGTAAGCCTCCACAGCGGGCCTACCGTCCTCCTCTCCATACCCGCTCAACTCTCCATCATCCAGGGACTGCCTCATCTGCTGGTAGATTTGGGGTATCAGGTGATGTAGCTCGGCCTGGGGGCTGATCCCAATGCTGGCCCTGTAACGGGGAGGTAACCTTGATGCCAGTCTGTTTTGAGCTGATGTTTTGGACTTTATAAACACGGTGAGGGGGTCTAACCAGATAAGGAACAAGCCCGCGGTTAGCAAACAGTAAGCAGCCCTGGGTAATGCAAGCTGTGCCAAGCCGATTAGCTCTGAGAGATTCTTGAAACTGTCTTCGGGGGTGCCGCTGACAGCCCAATGTAAGCCTAAACTGATAGACGACAAGGGGAGAATCCAGTTTGCTGTGAAAACTGTTATACAAGAGGCATTGAGGTTGCCGTAGTTACGCATCCAGTTTCTTAGAAAGTACGTATACAGGGCGAGGGCAGAAACAGATAAGACGTAGTGGAGGTTTTTGAGTTTGTCATCTTGCATTCGCGATAAAGGGGAGAGGAATGGCGAGGGTTGGCATGAGCCTTGTTCCTCCCTGCACCCGTGGAAGAACAGAGAGAGAAATAGGCTGCCAATGACCAACGCTAAGCTGGCCATTAGTGTACTAGCTTCTTTTCTCACAACAGAAGAGGGGAGAGGTGGAGACGGCAGCAAGGCGGAAGGTTTTGGCGAGTCGTAGATTTGGGGTAAAAGGTAACCGTGCCAGTTGAGGTGAACGGGGATGTATAGGGCGAGAGAAAATACTAAAAAGGTTACTACCCTACCCTCCGCGATGACGTAGCTATCGGAGAGGAGGGAGGCACAGCGTAACAGCAAAATAAATACAGCTGGGGTGAGGAGATGCGTCACAGAAAACCAACTTGCAGATTTTTTCGAAGCAGTTTTGGCAACCGTTCTAGTTTTGTAAGCTTTCCAGATAAACAAAAGTTCGGAGGTGAGAGTGGCGCCGGCTACGCACCATGGAACTTCCATGTAGCCCCAAGATAGCAGTTGAGCAATGGCAACGCAAATGCCCGTTAGCACTGCAACAATACATGAAGATTTAAGCGCATTGTCTTCCCGTATGAGTGTTAGCGACAGTTCAGACAGGAGGAGACAGGTAACGCAGGCCAGGGCTAAAATTATCAAACCGGCGGCCATTTTGAAAGGGTTGAACTTGGCCCAGGTGGCGCGGCAGGTGTCCCGGACAGAGGTGAGGTAGGATTGGAGAGATGCGGTGAGTTGTGGGGAGGAGAGGAGGCCCTTCTGGTGAGCGGTGATGTACTCAGAGGAGAGACTGGAGAACTGGGCCCGCAGCTGGGACAGGGTCTCCGGGGGGATGTCTTTGGCCATGCTGGAGTAGGTCTCCAGAAAACGATTCACCTACAGAACAAAATATAATGAGAAAGGCAGTTTAAGGATACACAATGCTCAGCCCTCCTTTCACAGAACAGTGAACATAAGAGAAACAAAGCATCAAAAATGAACAAATATGTTATTTTTGGTGAATTAATCAAAACAGATCATGTTATAAAAAGAGTGAAGAGACTTACTAACTGCTCAATTAAGTTAATCATGATGTTGTAAATATAAAATGCCCATTGCTGATTGAGATGTGTGGCTGTATAGAACATGTGTGATGCTGGGTGAGCGTGTTTGGGTCAGAGTGGACATTGTGAATTGTTCCTGTTGTTGATTGGCTGTAACTGCATTGTATAATTTATTCCTGTAAATCAGGGACTGCAGCTGGGAACTAGCAATTTAGATATAATCTGATGCAGAACATCCCTGATGAGTTTAATGTCTCTGTACATTGACAAAATGAGATACAAAACTAAACTAAAAGATTAGTATTTAGGGCATTACACAAGTAATTACGAAGCTTGAATAGTTCATTATGAAGAATGCTTTTCTTCATTCTTCGTTAAGGTGTAGTTATTATAAAATGTTTCCAATGCGAGGGCTTAGTCAGAAACATTTAAAGTATATGGTAACTTGAACTATTTCACTTAGGACCTTTTTATTTGGACAAATATCCACCTTTAAAATGTATCTTAATGGAGACCCCCAATAAGAATACATGATATAAAGTATTTTTTAGGAAACAAAAACACTGGCAATTGATTATATGCAAGATAAAGCCCATTTAATGCCAGACTGTGGAACATTCCAGGCAAAGCAGTAAAATCTTTAAGAAGACAAGCAGACCACCAACTAGAAAAGTTACTTAGTGCCCACTATTGTGTGTAAAATATTCTAGTACAATTCCAGGATAAATTTTATCGTTACAGTTCTTGCCATTGATGAATGAATGTCTCCTAAAATTATGCATTACTGTATTTGCAGTCACTTCAGTCAGGGTTGTAAAACTTTTCTTCTCTTTGTATAGTCAGTTGGATATTTGTACAGTGCTGTAATTAAATGGTAATGTTTTATTTTTTTTTAAACCTGGTATTAGAAACAACATTTTGACGTACATGTAAAATGTGGCTGTGATGATGAAAGTACCTGTTTTGCGTTGATCCACAGTGCCTCCTGCTGGCTGAGAGCACCAACTGCACTCTGCCCATGAGGAGGAAACAGAGGCAGCAGCACCTGCCCCACACTGCTGTACGGGATGGGGATTCCTAACAGAAGAGCCAGGGTCGGGACCAGGTCTGTCTGAGGCACCACTTCAGGCTCAAGCTGAAAAATAAAAATCTGAAAATTAATAACATGAATTTTTCTTTTTTCTTTTTAGGAAATGTATTTTCACACACAAAAACACACATAAAATAAAAATGTATTTTAATCATGAGCTGTACTTCAATGTTTGATTCAGTTCAGTTGTGATTTTCTTTTGCGTTCCTCAAATTAAGTACATCAGGTTCATGTTTTCATTTACATGCACCACCAGGAAAAGGCATTACTCTCTTACTATCTGCACAAGATGATTTTAATGCCTTTCGAAAAACTTGCCTTTACATATTTCATATTGTAGTACATATTTTATAATGTAATATTTAGGTCACCTGTATTTTTTGTGTATGTGTACCAATGTATTGTTTAAGCACACAGAGGAGTTTGAATAAAACATAAGGATGTGTGCAGTTACACTTGTATGCTTAAGAAGTCGGAATATTGAGCCTAGATACAGAGGTGTAATATTAATTTGGGAAAACTACTACTCAAGTAAAAGTAACTTTAAGAGTAGCTGTCAGGATGTAACATCTGATGTATAACTTGAAGTTAATGTAATTTGAATGATAAAACATAACACACAATATAGTACTTATACATTTCTGTCACTTAATCACAGTTGTAATAGTAACCAAAACTTTTACTCAAGTAAACGTACTATCACTTCAATAACGTATTACTCAAGTGGAAGTAAAAGTATGTTGCTAAAAAGTACTCTGAAAAGTACAATTTCTATAAAGAGTTACTCAAGTGAAAGTATGAGTACTACCCACCTCTGCCTGTATTACTATTATGAAAATATATACTTTATCATGTAACATATATGCGATGCATAATGGGTGTAAAATTACCTGGTTTTGTGGTTGTTGAAACAAAGGGGACGGGCTGTAGATAAAGATGGCTGCGTCCGTCTCTTTCTGACTCTCTCCTCCATGATCCCCAGTGTCAGTCATCCCATGGTCACCCATCACCACCAGCAGGGTGTCATTCTGTAGACGCCTCATTACTGACCTGAAATAAATAAAGTTAATCGAACAAAAGGGCTGTAGTCACAAATTTTGGTTTCATTATCAAATTTCAATATCATAACATTAACACACAGTATCTTCCACATTTCTTAAGAGCATTTTTTTATCTCATTCACAGTATGTACACAATTAAAGCTAAGTAATGGGATAATATTAGAGGACTACACTGAATGTGTAAGATTGTAAATGTGAAGATGAAAAATCTAAGGTGATACCTGATAACACCATCCATCTGGGTGAGCTTGTCGGCCATAGCTGGGTGGTCTGGACCAAACCGGTGACCACAGTGATCCACACCCAGAAAATGGGCCACCAGGACATCCCAGTCATCACCTTCCACTGTGCAAATGAACAGTAGAAAATTAGATTGTCAAAAGAAATACACATAGTGGTCTTATTGAAGTTTTGGAAAAGTAAAATGATGGTCTGGTTGTTTAATACTGAACAGAGGCCTGGAGGTTGAGCATACAAATATAAATAGCACAATTATTGAATATTAATTTCTTGTTAAATAAGTGACTAAGTAACCTCTGTTCAAAGTCAAATTGATAAAGAAGAAGGACAAAATCAGAACATAAAGTAAGGCAGAGTGGTTAGAGTAGACAAAAGTAAAAACAAGTAGTACTTTGTAATAGCACTATATATAATGGATTCTTTAACAATAGGTAACAACACACAAGGTTGTTCAAATGACATCAGATCAGGTATCAGATCTCATCCATCTTATCAAGTTAACTGTTGTTTTATTATTTACTACACTACTAGAGTATTCATCATCATTCAGACATCAGAGTTTTATTGCCTTTTTGGACTGAATAATTAAAGTGCATGTGTTTTTACATACATGTTGTGTAGATGTTCTGCAGAATCCCATCATCCACAGTGTGCAGGTCCTTCACGTTGAAAGAAGGAAAAGGCAGGGAGCGGTGGAACCTTTTGGGATAAAGATTCTCCCATGTGTCATCACCCATGAACACCACTCGTTTACCTGCAAAACAAGACAATCAGTCAATAATGATGAACAAAAAAATTATATTGCTTTACAAACCCACTAAAAACTATCACACTTAATATATCCTGTTGAAACAAAATGTAATTACTGAATCTTCAATTTGTCTCATAGATGATCATTTAAAGGTACACTATGTAATCTTTTATGTACATGGTTGATCACTAGCTTGTCACCATGGATAATTTATTGCTCGCCTGGAGAGCTCCAGAATATGGCCATTATCTTTTCTCATGGAAACAAAAGGGCAATGCCATCACCAAGCATCATTAGTGGAAAGGTGACATGGCATTTTTGAAAGTAATAACAAAAATATCTGATGAGTCTGATGTCATATTGTGGAACATTCCAGGAAAAATAATAACATCTCCATGCAGACAAGCAGTTGCTGGACCCCCACCAGTAAAGGTCCATAGTGCATCTTTAAGTGTCTCTAGTAAGGATGTATGAATTAGAACATTCTCTGTATAAAATAGACCTCACGTAATTACTAGAGCTGTAGTTGCTGATCGATTAGTGAACTAAAAAGGGGGCATGGTGAAACCTCTTAAAAATATGAAATATCCCTGTGATCTAACATTCACTCCCAAATCTTCAGCTTGCTCACTCCATACCTCCTCCATTCTGTTCCATATAAAGCCTTATGATCTAATTAAAATAACAAGACAACAGGTACAGCCTTAGTTAAGACTGTCTTACCAACTTGACCCAGTTGTTGAATGAGATTGTCCTCCAGGATGGCACTTGAAGCAAAGTTATTTCCTACATCTATAAACGTGGGGAGTGAGCCTGTAGTGAACCCCTTTATCCTCTGCATTGTAGTAGTAGGAGGGTCAGCCCGGAATGGATACAAGCGGCTATGGGAAGGCTTGGCTGACACCGTCTCCTCCAACACTGGCAGTTTGTTCTCATAAGGCCTTGGTGATGTGTTGTTGGGATCAAATCGTGCAAAATCTATCTTCAAGGCATCAATAATGAGAAGGACAGCTTTGTGGAAACGTGGCTGTCCTCTGCAAAAGTCCCTCTCTGGTCCCTGTCCGGGATAGAGGGCGTCTAGGCAGCTGCTGGTCCGATTCACCTCCATCCTCACCAGCAAGAAGCCACCCACAAACAGGTAGATCCCGGTGATGTAGACGGCACATATCCAAAAGAGAAGGGAGAGCACAGGAAACCACTTCATCCTGGACACAAGCAGAATGCATATACATTTTTAGACAATGAGTAACATTCAAATAAATATTCTAGCCATTAGACATGTTGTTTTAATATTAGAACCACTTGTCTATATAAAGCTACCATTGCTTTGCCTGGAATGAATGTTTCACAGTATAGCTTGAACATATCTGTCTTGCATTCATTTATTTATTTAAAGCACGAACAGTGCTCAGAAAACATTAAACTCAGAGACAAAAGATGCTCTGTGTCAGATTTAGCTAAAAGCTACTTTCCATCTGCAGTCCTTGGGCATGTACAAAATACATTACGGAACATTTCATTGTTAACAGGTTCTCTTTAATATAACCCCTATCCAATTCATCATTAAACATTTAAAATAATTAAAATTAATACATTCTAATTTCCATAAATACAAGATTTCAAATTCATCATTATCTTCTAAAAATGTCACTGTCATCAATATCCTCTAAAATGTACAATTATTATTCTCTAAAATATAATTAATCAACATTACCATCAAGACAAATGTCATGAGTTAAACACAATACATTTACGTCTACACAATACATCTGTAATACAATCAGTCAGAATGTTTAAATATTTGAAGATATTTGAAGCCCAATATTGACACGCCTGCCTACTCAGAAGTAATTCATTACATTCATTGCATACCCATTTTTATTGCTTGAAAAACATGCATATTCTATTCTATAGCACATTTTAGACAACTAGGCACTGTAATAACATCTCCATGTAGACAAGTAGGTGGTGGACCTTTCACCAGAGAAGTTATATAGTGCATCTTTAATCACATATGGAGCTTCGTCATAGATCCTGACCTCCAAACTAAAAAATTACAGTTGCTATTGGCCTGTATTGCAGCAATGGGCCTATGATTTTTATAATTATTATTGTTATTCAGTAACTAAATTACATTGTTTGTGTAATAAAGATACAAAAAAATTTTATGAATTAATAAAAAATCTGGTATCACATAATTAGCCCATTAGAATTTGCAACTTACCTCAAATACAAAAGTGGCACCTGCTTCCAATGAAAAAAACTAAAACAAAAACACCGACTATTCCCTTTTAACAATCCCGATTACTTTGAATAAAATACCATGCTATACTACCTTCGTTTATGCCATGGAAAACTTTTTGGATCATGCTTTAAATTAAATGTTGAGTAAACTAAACGCTAGTAGCTACACCTAGCAGCACTACTATTACTACCACACAACTCATTGACTGAGTGACTGACCTTGTAGCCGGGGAGTGTGCTTCCTCTCCGGGCTGGGGGAGGAGGGGATGTGTGGGTTAAAAACACAGGAGGGTCCAGGTGGGGCAGGTAAACACGGGGCGGTTCACCTTCATTGGGACAGCCGCCGTACAATCAGATAAACTCACCAGTGACAGCTAGGAACTCATGCGTGTCTCCAGCACCGCGGAAACACAAGGGGGGCGAGTTTAGTGTAACACAACGGAAATGTATGCCCCGCGTTTGGGCTGTCAGGCGCTTTGGTTTATTATTTATGGTGTTTTTATTTTTTTTAATTCAACATAAACATATTCTCAAATACAAAATCAATAAGGTCGTGGACAATCGGGGGCGTCAAAAACACACAATCAGTAAAAAACCACACAAACAACACATATACTACACGGAGCAACTTAAAAGACCCAACTATAAAAGAGTGTACTGTACACACTTACACACTTAAACTTAACTAAGTAAAATTAAGTCCAACATAATAAACAGGGAACACTGATAGTGTTACGTTATAGATATTTCCTGTAAATACTGTATGTTTTAATAGCGTTTGTTTTGTTTTTGTTTTTTTTAATATTGTTGTATTTTGTAATTATTGCGGTGATCTTTGGTTTTCTTTTCTGAATGAGGAAAGAGAGCTCTTTGGGAATGGAGGGGTTGTTGGAAAAAGAACAGGATGTCACTTTATTATTTATGGAGGTCAGGAGTCAATAAAAAAAATTAAATGGTGTCCAGAATGTAATCTGAAATCATAATGGCGAGTTACAATGTATTTCAGTTGAGCAAATGTATAATTCTAAGCATTTAGCCCTAATGATGATTTTATTTTCAATTGAACTTTACATAAACTACAAAGTTGTAGACTGCCTAGTAAAAATGACATACAACTAAATACATGTCACCAAAATATATTTTCATAATACACATTTTGAATAATTCTGGTACAGTTATTCAGTTTTGTTTGGTGGAAATTAAAGTATAGTTATTTTACTTTCTTAAAATCAAAGACCATGTACATAGTGTTTTAATAGCATCTTCTCCTGTTCCTAGTCCTTTTACAAAATTCTGGTGAAAACTAGGTAGTCTATATTTAGCCTTTCTGTTCAAAAACAAAAATAAACTGAAGTTCTAACTAGACAGTAATGCAGAATATACAAACAATAGTTTTATTTAAATCCAAACAGGAAAAAAACAACAACAATAGATTATGTTGGGGGAAGTTTATAAATCTCATTGTCTACTCATTTCCTGAATATCCCACATATCTGATAACTTAAACTGTCTAATCCAGTGTATGAGAATTACACTTGTTTTTACACCTTTTGTAAACACAGTCACTTTAAGACCTTAGTCAAGGATAGGAACATTTTCATGAGTAATAAGTTCTGTGGCAAACTTTTTTCTGCTAATTGGTAAAGGAAATAAAGGTTCCTTTTAATACAAGGACTCAACACAACATCATTTAATTAATCAATTCGGTGATTTGGTGGAAATATTACGGTTGACATAGCCAGCTATACAGAATCCCGCATTATTGTTTTTGTCTAGTTTTTCTACTGGTCTCTTTAGTTTTCTCTCCATGTCTCAGAACCCAGACGTGTAAGGTGTTCAAAAAAGTTACTTCAAACAGTCAGTTAATGTAAAAATCATGCTGACAGGCTCCCAGATTCCTCATCGGCGTTCTTCTCATCTTCTGACTTTGGTGCCAAACTTGGTATTGCTGTTTTTGTCTTTGCCAATGTACTATAAATGCTCATTGCCTATAACAAAAATGTAATTGTGAATAGCTGGTAATGGATCAATATCAATCTTGTTTATTTACTGCATGTAATTAAAAATATACCTGTGTGACCATTCCGCTAATATCCCCAGTGTTTGAGGGTAGAAGGATGGTGTTGCTCTCTTTGGCCAGATTTGAAAAGGCCAACACGTACTGCTCAGCCACACTGAGAGATGCAGCAGCGTTTCCATTCTGTAAAACCAAATTGGTCATTAATCCACACATCACTATTTTAAGTGAGAGGAGATACACACAGAGCCCTTAGAACATGTTTAGCTAAGGGCACTGCTTCACTCTTAATATTCTAATGAGAAGATTAGACGATTATCCTGTGGGGAGCTTTATCTCAGTGGCCAAAAATGAATCATCCAAGAAGCGCACACAGGGTTTTTGGGTTTTAAACACTTCAATTTCATTGATCAAAAGTGCTACAGAAAAAAATGTGTATTAATGGTATACAGAATTTTAAAAAGGTCTAAACAAAGGTATCGAAAGAGTTAAAGCATGTTTACCTGTTCTGTCAGAGCATCTGAAAGCAGACGAATAGCCTTCGCTTTTGCCTCAGCTTTGGCCAGCACTGCCTGAGCCTCACCTGTACAAAACAGTAAATACAAACACTGTGATTGGCATTTTTATTGATCACAGTTTTCTAATTTATTTTATGTTTTGTTATTTAAAACAAATAAAATGACTTTAAATGTAAAAGATCTAATCAGTACAGTATTTTAATTAGAGCTTGACTGATACAGGTTTTTTCATGGCCAATGCCAATACTGATTGTTTAGAATTAAAAAGGAACCGACTTTCTCTGCTGATAATTAAGGCTGATACTTTGGGTCAATTTTAATTATTTTTTCCACAAATGAACTAATATGGGGAATTAGAATTGGATAATTTAAGGATGGTTGTCAATAAAAAGTGCAGATTTATTTTTAATCATTGCCATTTACCCCTAAAAATAAATAATTCAATTTGTTCCTATTAAGGAGTTAAGAATTTTACTCCAAACCACATACTTTTACTGACAGCACATGGCTTTAGATTTATCAATTATAATTACTGCTTGATTATAAAAACCCAAGCTAATCTTTGACAACTGAAATGACATTTGACTTTTTTGGACACTCAAAGATACATAATTCATTAACTCCACACACTGAGACGAGAAGGTACTAGTCCAGCCACAGCTGCCCGGGATAGAGTGATAAAAGTGAGGCTCCAAATCTACACCATTGGCCCCTCCGACCACCACTCACATTCAAGTACTGGTCAAGTACCAGGTCTGGTCTTTCTTAGCTTTCCAAGATCTGGACAAAATCTGGCATTTACAAGCAGGTATGGCTTAATCTCGATCTTAATAAAAAATTGCACAACCATATCAATTGTAAATGAACAACACTATAGAAAGCCCTTCATTGTACTTACCAGCAGCTTTATTAATCTGCTCGGCCTTTTCACCCTCTGAAGCCAGAATCTGGGCTTGTTTACGGCCCTCAGCCACATTAATGGCCGCTTCCCTTGTTCCTTCAGACTCCAGCACTGTGGCCCTTTTCTTACGCTCTGCTTCTACCTAAGACCAATAAGAATACAAACGAATAAAAAGCTATAAAAATAGGTCTGTCACAATAACTACTAACTGACATAATAACCATGAAGCAGGATTTTCCCTCAAACAATATTCTGAACAATGTACAATATCATTAATAAGAGGCATGAGCTGCAATAAATAATAAATAGCAGACTGCAACACTTTAGTAGACGGTGCCAATTAAGACTCATTGAAGGTATTAATTCAATCATCTAGAGCTACTATTTTGCAAGAAAATTACCCAAAAAAAGTTAAGCAAAGGACCCATGATTATTATTTAGCCCCAAGGCCAAAATTATTGTTACATCTATCATTCATTTAACCATCAAGTCAAGGTAGTAATTACTGTGACAGGCCTACATAAAACTATAAAGTAATCACGTGAGTGTTTTTACCTGCATTTGCATAGACTCTTTGACGCGAGGAGGAACATGGATGTCTTTAATTTCATATCGAAGGCAGCGGATTCCCCACTCATCTGATGCTTGGTTGATTGAGTGGACAATGTTTGAATTTAGTGACTCTCTTTCCTAAGACAAAACAATTAATGGAATGTGATATTATTTTTGTCTTTTTGTCATTATACATTATTTTATGGTAATATTTTTCTAATCAATTAACCCTAAACCAGTATGAAAACTGTAAGGGCGTGTTTACGCTTGCACAAACGTCACATGAAAATGAAAAAATGAATTTATAATTAAATATACCTCACCAGGGATAAACCAGGACTATAACAGAAGTCCATCATGAATAAACTGGGATCAAACCTGGACTAAACTACAATGTGTGAATGCACTCCAAAATGACCAAGAAACATATTTTCTTGGTCATAACATTTAAACAGAACTTCTCATTGCCAAGCTTTTTGTATATTTTTTCTTACCATTTTATGAGCTCTATTCACACTTACGTCACAAAAACAAAAACATGCGAAACGACGGCTTCCTTTGGGCTCTACTGGCAACAGTAACTCTGACAAAATCTGGGAAAACTGAGAAAATGGCCTAGTTTTCTTCATCTAGATGTCATTGTATATTGTATTCTTTTTTTTTGTTGCTTGTTTTCCTTTTATAAATTGCCTATTTGTGCATTATAATTTGCCTAACTTAACAATAATAATAAAAAAGATCATTTGTCATTGCAGTGTTCCATTATGTTCGGCAGATCAACAGTTATAACTAGCTGTCTGTGGAAGATGCGATCAGAGTCACATCCCCTATGGAAAGCTTTGGCAGGTTGTGTAGACCTGCTGAATCCATGGTTTTATCAGATGCCCACATAGAACAATAATACAATCTAAACTATAATAAAATATAATCAAAATTGTGTTTTTATTATAAATCCATGCACGTCCAGTGTTGGTCACTACACCCAAAGTTGTCATCAGCATGTTTCCAAACGTGAACAGAGCCCATTACTGTGCAATCAAGCAACCTAAATTGTAGGTAGGGTTAGTTAGGGTTGTAGTTTTTTTTTATTTTCATTGAAAATAATTTTTTTTACTGTAACATAAACATGAAACGACAATACTCTGAATTTTTAAAATATGTTTTTAAAGTTTGACATAAAGAAATCGCCCAGTTACCCTGAAAACTTTATCCAACGTCAGTTTCCCCAGCTCTGAACGCATGGTGGTTTGTGCCAGCTGCGTGACGGCATACTCTGGATCTTCAACTCCATAACTTGCCTAAAAAAGGATATAAAATTTAATGAAACCAGTTAAATTCATCATTAAGTCATTCACTGATATTTAGACAAAATTACCATACCTTAAATGGATCTAGAATCCTTAAATAAAGCACTCCATCAATTTGAAGTGTTACATTATCTTTGAGGGAAAAAAAAGATTTATTAAATTAATTACAATTTGAGAAAAAAAAGTTTAAACTAAGTAGGGCAGCACAATGTAAACAACTCTAGGAGCATAAATATTTGAGAGAAGACTGAAATATGGACTGATAAAGTAATACAAGAATTTCATGAATTTCAGAACATGTTTGTAGAGATCTAAACTAGACAAGACAAGTTATTTTGTTTTATGTACAGGATTTTCTATTATCTAAATAGGTCTTTGCAATTTGATAATTGTAGCAACTCAAATTATTGAATCAACTGTGATATATTGTGCAGTCCTAAAACTAAGTAGTAAAAGAAGCATGCAACTCACCTAGAGATACTGCTGATTGCTCTGGGACATCAATTACAATTTCTTTGAGACTTTGCACATAGCGAATCCGGTCAAGAACAGGTATAAGAAAGTTCAAACCCTGCAGTAAAAACAGAGAAATAAGCATTAGAAAGTAAGTAATATATGTTAGAATACAAAATGTCACCAGTGTAATGAGAGTAATACCGGCTCTAGGATGCGGTGAAAGCGACCCATCCTCTCCACAACCCAGGCCTCTTGTTGGGGTACAAACAGGACCACAGTGTTCATGGGTAAACTGGATGCCCATCTTTGCTGAGCTGGAGTAACCCATAGCTTGGGTACCGTCCGCTGGCTTTGCTGTGGACAAACATATACAGACATAGCACACTCATTGTCTAAACTTGTAAAACAAAAACAACAACGACAAAAACAATATCAAAGCATGGTCTTGGGTTGTGAATCAATAGAAAATCAAATAGTAAATTATTTAAAATGAAGCAAAATTACAAGTGCATTTCAACTGAAACCACAGTTTTAACTCTGTTTCAGGAGACTTGCTTAAAATAAGGTGACCAGATGTTCCTATTTACCCAGGACAGTCCCAGTTTTGAGCCCTGTGTCCCCTGTCCCAGCAGATTTCTTCAAAACGAGTGATTTGTCCCAGTTTTATATAAGAAATGTCCCAGATGTCCCTATATTTTTTTTTACCACTTTGTTACCTACCAAAAGAAAACACAGAAAATTGTAATTGAAAATGGTACTGACAGAAGTCCCTCAGATTATGAGTGACCAACAAATGAGTCGAAAATGGACAATGTTATGCAGTCTTTTCACAATTTTATTTACAGCAACCATCCCAACAGGGAGTATGTCCCAGGTTTGAGTTTTGAAAATATGGTCACCCTAGATTAAAACAAAATGTTCTAAAGGAGTAATCTTAGTAGATGACATGGAACATAATCAAACAAACAAACAAAAATCTTTCCCAAAGCTTAATAGTAATAATGGCTTTTTATATAAGAGTCATATAAACACTTGATTTGCAGTTCACAGTGTTAAGTATTGCAGAATTCGATTTTTTTTTTTTTTTTTTTTTTACATTTAATTAATTTGTAACTTGAAAGATGAGCAGTCGTTTCACATAAAATAGGCTAAAACAACGACTACAATAAAATACAAATCATATAACTTAATGGAAACAGCAGTATTGAAGTCTGATGCAAGCTAATGTCATGAGCCCTCAGATCAGTGAGTGTTTTTACCTTTAACAGCAATCCACCGCTCCGACAAAGCGTCCGCAACATTCTCCAAACACCGGGGCCTAGTACTTTTGTTTTCTAATCTATGTAACTCAGAAATTCAGTAATATTTATCTATAATCACCGGCTACTCGCTTGTGGACATGACCCTTCTGTTCAGGAAATAGCTTACGTCAGTGCAACACCTGAACGTCCGACCATGAAGAACGCTGTGTCTATAGTTCCGAGCCTAAAAAATTTAACAAGATTAGAGTCATAACAGAGGTTTATTCAACAATTCAAAAAAACGTTGAATTATGGTGGCAATTTAATTAAATAAGCTATGCGTCAATGTAATAAAGATGGTACGCGCTTCATCCATTTCATGTAGTAAATATTTATGTCCACAAGACGGCGGTATTGTTTTCATTTGAGATTTTTGAGACTTATAACTAAATGGCATTCAACCATACTGTTTATTTATTTATTGTTTTCATATTTACTTTAAAGTTAGTATAACAATTATAACCAGTAGCCTAATAAATGCAACCCAGTTTTCAACGCAGAACGTATATTCATAGTTGAAAACTGGGTTGCATTTATTCATAGAATATGTTCATTTTTACAGTCTGTTGCTTACTATAATTTTAATTAGGGCTGGTGATGGTATACATACTCCAAGATGGGGACCAATTTGTTTACATGGTATTTTCATTAGAAATATCTAAAATGTAATTTTTTAAAAGTTTATATATATATATATATATATATATATATATATATATATATATATATATATATATATATATATATATATATATATATATATATATATATATATATATATATATATATATATATATATATATATATATATATATATATATATATATATATATATATATATATATATATATATATTTTTTTTTTTTTTTTTAATTATGATTACTAGGCATCAAATGTGTTATATAACAACAAAATGTGCATTTTATCGGTGTTAATTTTAACCTTTCCAACATCTGAATAAAAAAATATGGACCTATAGAATGTTCACAGACTGTATAAGGTTGTAATGTCATCTAAAACCAAGGGTGGGAAGTAGTACTAATTACAAATAGAAAGTAAAAGTAGAAGTAAAATAGAAGTTTTGGGGGTAATTTCTTTACTTGTAGGCTTGAGAATGATTCTAACATTGTAGGTTAGTTTATTACATTTGGTAGAAGTAAAGCTTGCTCCGATTGCCCAAGCCCAAAGAAACTAAGGGCTTCAAATTGAGTAATTGAGAAAATTAGCCTTGTAACTGTACTTTTCCTTGAGTAAAAATATCCAGTACTCTTTCCACCACCGGCTAAAAACAAGGGAAAAAAGTAGTGCCAAACTCAGACTACAGTGGAGCGGTCTGAAGAACCGTCTGCGCCACCTGTTTCTTCCTCCAGCCCTTCTCTGTTCGTGATTGGTTTAAATTTCACAACAACCCCGCCTCTTCACTTGACTCTGCGCTATCATTGGCTGTCGAGGACGCCAGTAACAGGTGGTCTGGCTCGCTCCGCCCCCTGCTCTCCTCCGCTGATCGGTCTGTGCGTGCGCCGTGTCCTCAGGTTGTTCGTCCCTCTTCAGTCCCAGATAATCCTGAGTCGAGATGAGAGTTTGGAACATGGCGTGGCCGTGGAGAGGAGAGGCTACAGCTCTCTGCTTTCACTCAGCATCGCATCGTTACTTTTAAGGACCGATCTACAGCGTTTTAGTGTTTTAAATGAACTTTTTCTGGACGCGATGATGTTCCAAGGAAATCTCTGAGCGCCATATAAACTACTGGAGAGTCGCTGGAAGTGCTTTGCCATGTCGCTGCTGTGTGTAAGAGGTACATTTCGGCTTTCTTTTAATTTTATTATCTAAACTAGGGGGACAGGCTTCCCTGTTTACCCGGGACAGTCCCAGTTTTGAGCCCTGTGGCCCCTGTCCCATCAGATTGATCCAAAACCAGTGATTTGTTCCAGTTTTATACAAGAGGTGTCCCTATTTTGACCAATTTGATCAAAACCAGGACTAAACTAAGACTAAACTAGGACAACATCAGGTCTAAACCAAGACTAAAACAGTGCCATCACAATTTTTGACTAATCTGATCCCTGCCATCAGTAAAAGAGGATCATAAATTGTCATTTGTTTAGCCAAAATACAGAAAACTGTTTGCAAATGACCATAAACCAAAAAATAAATAAAAAAAATGCAGCGACAGAAGTCCCTCAGATTATGACTGACACGAGAAAGCACAATCTTACATGCTCTTTTCACATTTTTAGCAACCATCCAAACCCTAGTGTGTTCCAGTTACTATATTACAAGTTTATAAGTTTCACTACTGTTTAAATGTTAGCAATCATTGAAAAGTCAAATAATTCTGGTCTTTCCCTAAAATGTCAAATAACAACAAATAAGTTGAGTAATTATTTAGCTTGCCAACTGGTATTTGTGAAGATGTCATAGTCCGATTATATTGTGCTTTGCCATAAATATGTAAAGGCAAATTTACAAATGTTAAACCTGTTCATTTTTTTTTTTAATTTTTACCCTAGAGCTGACTATATAACTAAGCTAAACAAAAATCTGCATTTGAACAATGTTCAGTTTAGCTGCCCCCATCTGTATTAAATATTATTGGCCTATAATAGAATGTTGTGATTCCACCTGAAACCCAGCAATAGTTAAAATTTCATGAAACCTAGTCATGGCATTTTCTGATCACTAGGGTTGTAAAAAGTATCAAAATTCAGACACTAATCGATACCAAAAATAGTACTGCAACTAGATACTGATTTGAGCAGGTATTGGTACGCCTAGTAATTCACATTCACAGGAGAGGAATGAAGAAGAAGAAACCTTTCCTGAACAGCTTTAGAATGATCTTAAGCTTTATCAGAACAAGTATAAGAGCACCTAGACTAGTTTACACCCATGGATCACTTTGGAACCTACCTGGACAAGTGAGGGATTACACACATATAAAATCATGTGGTAATATAAAAGAAAATATTATTAGTTAATCTTGAAAAGCCAATTCTATTGTCTAAGGAAAAAATTTTTTAATAATCAGTGCAGTATCAGAATTGAGTATCGTGTCTATTTCTTAGTGTCCAAATCAAGTTTGAAATTTTAGTATTGTGACAACACTACTGGTCACAGAATTAAAACAGGACAATATGTTATGTAAAATTGTTGTTATAATAATAGGCTAATAGATAGACAAGCCTGTACAAGCAGCTGGATATAAAAAATAGCAGTCATACACCTGACCACATCATCATCATTGTATTTTTTTATTTTATTTTATTTTTTTCTGACACAAATAGAAAAAACCTATACTTTTTTACGTAATATGTGCAGGTAAAAGTTGTGGATGTTTCAAAATGTGTGGAAGCGTGAATATGTTTATCTGACAGTAGGACTGCATGATATATCGAAATCTCTGCAAGTAGCTTATTTAGTCTGGAAAAATGAAATACAATAGTATTAGTGCCCAGTGTTGTCAGACAGAGCCTCTGAATTATAATTACAGTATATGTTCTGTTGGGTTTTATTTTCAGATAGGAGGCTGAGATTAAGGCTGAGAGCTTTAATTCTTAAATTGTGAAAGTTAGGGCTATTGACAGTAAATAATGGACAAGTGATGCTACATATAAAACACTTTACTTTTACACTCTGAAATAAAACATTAAATGAACTCATCCATATTCGTGTTTTTGGCATCTTAATTTAAATGTTTAAAGTAGACATTGATACAGATGTTGCACTTAAATTAATAGTAATGGTGCCATGTCACATAACCTTCCATTTTTGGCCTGTTTCCTTGTGCTATTGTTCACTGTACAGACCTCTGTTATCTATCTATCTATCTATCTATCTATCTATCTCTCTCTCTCTCTCTCTCTCTCTCTCTCTCTCTCTCTCTCTCTCTCTCTCTCTCTATCTCTCTATCTATCTATCTATCTATATATATATATATATATATATATATATATATATATATATATTATATATTATATATATATATTTTTTTTTTTTTTTTTTTTTTTGCTATTTCCTTCTTGACACACCTGTTCCACCATTCACCTTTTGAAGCTTTCCATGACCATGACAGCCATACTTTTTACTATGCTAACACGGACTTCCTGGTTGGAATGACATCAGCCGCAGTAACATAATACCTAACAGGAAGATCCCCTCTCATCCAAAAAAAACTGTTTTTATTCCACGAAAACACAACAGCCTAATCCAACAATTCTGACGTAAAACGGAGCACCAGTGCCAGCTGTAAAGGTTACAAAGAGGTGAGCACGCCTGGATTTACATCCTTCACAAAGTGCAGACTGATGTATTATGCACTGCATAAAATAATTTAGATCTATTAAAAAGTACTGGATTACAAATATTATTCTTTAAAATATTATTACTTCAGATGTATTATTGTCTGAAGTTTTCTTACATTAATCCAAAGATGTGATTAAAATAAAATATGTTTGAAAGTTCCATCCTAATTTGCTAATATTGATAACACTTTTGTGTTGATTTTAGTGTGTATTTACCTTTTTAGTGATACACCTCATCCAGGATGGTTACATGCATGTTTTACAAACACATTTTTGATCGATTGCAAACACACTAATTATGATTGTTAGAATAATTCCCCAAAATATTGTAGAACTCTTTAGTCCTGATGAGTAGTTCTCAACCTAGGGTTGTGAAAGGATTTCAAGGGGTCCCCAGTGTTATGGGAAAAAAATTTACAAATGCATTAACTAAGCTTGACGCCCTTTAAATGCAGTGGTATGTACATACCCCTGCATGTTTACATCACACCCATGCCATGAGCATTCTTACTGTGAGCAGGGTTGCCTTTTCACAGATCTGGCCTGTAATTTGGTTGTCTATATGTATTTAGGTACGTTCAATGCCCTACTGTGAAACATTACAGACAAAGCAATAACATCAAGCAATAACAACAATGGCAATAGCATGTTTCACAGTAGGGCATTGAACTTGCCTAAATACATATAGATAAGCAATGATAGGTCAGATCTGTGAAAAGGCGACCCTGCTGTGAAACATTCCAGGTAAAGCAATAACATCAAGCTGTAACAACAGTGGCAACACCATGTTGAGGACCCTACATAGTGCACCTTCCCAGTGCATGTCATTCAGACTAGTTCTACACCAGGCCCCTACACAGAGCATGTATTGATCGACACTGCAACTCCAGAAGGTTGCTCTTTGGGTTCTTGATAAGAGCAGAATCTGGGGGCTGTAGGACCAACCCAGGACAGTCATTAGCTGATGTCGTGAGTCATTCCCCGTTGGTGTGGCTTGACACTTGCTTATTTATTGCCGGTGGAGATGCCGGATCACCATGGCGATGTCTTTACACAACAGATAAGTGGTTCCCCACACAAGTGGACCGTGGGGAGGGGGCTGAATGAGTGAGCATCCTGTGGCGCATCAGCCCAGGCTCGAGTGGACCACATGGGCTTGCCACTGGTCTGGAGTCCTGGACAAATGCTGCACATTGAGATTAATGATTTGTTTTATAGCATTGTTCAGACTTTTTGTTAGGAGACTTTTGTATTGAAAGACACGACTCACTAACAATTCAGGCCACTAGTGTTAATTTTGTTTACTGTAATATATTTTGTCATATATCTTTCTTCAGGATTCATTGTCTGGATATTTTATTGACTATTAAAAATAAAGACGTTATTGCAATCAATATAAACATTTGGCATCCCAGGAACAAGGTGTCCTGTCCCTTTTCGAGACTGGATTACATTAGGGATGCACATCAGGTCTCTGAACATCAGGTCTCTGAACCTGATGCAGACAAAAATATTGCAAAATGACTGTGCTATTGTTGAGCCAGACAGTAAGGTTTAAATTGTATTTATACCCAGGATGGATGATATGGCAAAACATTTATATCAAGACTTTGTTGGAGCCAGATCATGATTTAGATCTGATCACGATTTATGTACACATTGTGTCTTTCTGTTACCTCCAGGAGGTAAATATAGTAGTTTGCTTCTGAAAGTTCCCACTCCACTGTGATTGGTTAAATCTATCTGTCACTCACTCAGAGTTGTTGCAATGCTATTTTCCTATTTTCTGTGTCTGCTCTGATTTTACTTGATGTGGGGTTTAGGCATACTTAAAAATATCTTAAACTTATAAAAAGTTGATGTTGGAACTGGAAAGTTTAAGTAGTGCATTTCTAGATTAAATGTATTGTGTTGTCAACAAAATGTATATTTGTTGACTAATGCTTGACATTTGTTGTCTAATGTTCAGGCCTTTTTTTTTTTTTTTCATGGCACATATTCTCGACAGGCTGGTATCATACTCAAAATTGTCGTAAATAGTCTGGAAAGTATATGAGCGACTGCCTTCTTCTGTACATATGTTACTTTGACAATCTGTCCAGTTGAAAGTGACCGGTCACATACCATACGCTTTTATGGCAAGTGCTTGTGGAGAGGGCTGATGTCTGTGGTAACAAGTATCGCCCACACTTTGTTTCACATTAGTTCAGTTTCCTCTTGCTGACATTCTATCCATATATTGTTTACTCATGCATTAATGTAATAGTTTTGAATTAACCATACAAATAACATTTTACAGCTTATCAGGGCCATAGTAGGGCAGGGCAGCAGTCTCGCAGAGGTGACCAGACTTCCTTTTCCATATACTTCCTTTTGAGCAGTTACAAGAGGGAGGCCATCTAATGTAAAAAGCCAAATAACCTATGAAAACAAAATAATCAGTACCTACACTGGTATTGCTTCATATCGGATATCAGCAAATACTTAAAGTCAA